CCGACATCATCAGGGTCACGGCTGCGCCGTGACACCTGATGATATCTCTGATTTCGCGGTAAATAACTAATACATATAATGTTTTGGTAAATTGCAAATATATATATATTTTTTATAATATAGTACAATTTATAAAAATCTTATTAAAATAAGCTATTTTATTTTATTTTTGTACACACTGTATTTTTTTATTTCAGCATCATTTGTCATATTTCCTATAAATCCATAGTTTAAAACGCTTAACCTTCACGCTAGTGTCACAGGAAAAGCTATCATAAAAGATATGGTTGTATTCAATACATAATACATTGATGTTTACTGCTTGGTTAAGTTAGCAGTATGTTTGGAATTATTGTCACACCTGACATTGAAATTAAATCTTTTTTTATTAAAGGAAAAGTTTCGTCGGGTGAAAAAGCATCGACTGGTGGCAAATGGTAAAATTTCTCAATTCTTTTCTAATTATATTTACTAGTTGTAAAAAATATGAATAATGATATTATATAAAAAATTTTTTATTTAAAAAACAGAAAATACCTCAAGAATCATTTTGTAATCGGGTTTGTTCATTTATCAAGCCTTTTTTACAGACATGAAAGTATTGGAGGTAGAATTAACAACAACAAACGACAATGATTTTAAATTCTCTAAATCTCAACCTAATTTTTCCGTACAATTAGCTCAAAAGCGAATATTTATTTAATGAATCGACATTAAATATATGACCTCGTTACACAAATTTAAGACCGAGCTTTTTTTGAATTAAATATTAAATAATAAAAATTTGAGCGAAATTTATTTAAAGTCGTAATTTTTTAATAAATTCAAGTTAAATATTATGAAATCGATTTAAATCAATCTATTTTAATACACCTAATGGTAAATAAATAGAACTTATTGTTAGATTCGTTAGTGGCTTTGCTAAAATTTAATTTTTATTTATCCAAGGAAAGTAAGGCAGCTCAGCTTACGAGCATTACGAAATAAAAATCCAAATCAACTAAAAAGGTTATGGAACCTATTTATATATCTTAATACACATCGTCTAACGTCTAAACCTTTTATCGAAAGTTCGACTATGGATAAAAAAAAAAAAAATTATTAATATTCCTTGTTACAACTAAATTTTTCACCCTCTTTCATATAAAACATGAAAACTTGGAGAAGCTGGTATAGCAGTAGAATATTTGATAAGTGTGTAGCTATGAAAATCCTAAGAGGTGCATGAAATACGTATATACATTTTTCTTGCTTTATTTTCGTTGTAAGAACGCTATTCTTGAAGAAAGAGTTTTAATATGGGAACTCGGTATATTGAAATCAAAACATGATTAACATTTCTTAATTGCAAATCAGTGGAAATTTTATTTTAAATGGGTTTTTTTTCATTGACTGTTCTTTTTTTTTTTAAGATACAAAAAAAAAAACGAGAAAATAAGTTCTTCTTGAATTTGTACCACTCTAATGATGTCAGGTTACAAAGAATTTAAAATTAAGTTTATAACAAATAATCTTTCCCAACATTAAAAAGATACATTTTTTTTTTTTTTAAAAAAAAAATTACATACTTTAGTTGCAAAATAATTGAAATAATGATCTCTGAGATTTTTCATATCAAACATAACAGCATCGATCTTTTAAGAAATAAATTTATTAATTTTATTATACAAAATATATACTAATTTATTTTACAAATTACGCGAAAACTAATAAGATCTAAAGTTACGGAACATGTGACTAATAAATTCGTGTCGCACTCGACAGATCAGCAGTCATCATGTTGTACACATTTGGGTTTCTTAGGATGTTTTGGTTTCTTTGGATGTTTGGGTTTCTTTGGATGTTTTGGTTTCTTTGGATGTTTGGGCTTCTTTGGATGTTTGGATCCTTTTGGTGGCACAGGCTCTTTTGGTGGTTCGGGTACAGGTTCTTTCGGTGGTTCTGGCTCTTTTGGTGGTTCGGGTTCTTTTGGTGGCTCTTTTGGTGGCTCAGGTTCTTTTGGCGGTTCAGGCTCTTTTGGTGGTTCTTTTGGCGGTTCGGGTTCTTTTGGTGGTTCGGGCTCTTTTGGTGGCTCTTTTGGTGGCTCAGGTTCCTTTGGCGGTTCAGGTTCTTTTGGTGGCTCTTTTGGCGGTTCAGGTATTTTTGGTGGCTCTTTTGGTGGCTCAGGCTCTTTCGGTGGTTCGGGTTCTTTTGGTGGTTCGGGCTCTTTTGGTGGTTCAGGTTCTTTTGGTGGTTCGGGCTCTTTCGGTGGTTCAGGCTCTTTTGGTGGCTCAGGCTCTTTTGGTGGTTCGGGTTCTTTTGGTGGCTCAGGCTCTTTTGGTTGTTCGGGCTCTTTTGGTGGTTTTTTACCACCGGGATCTTGTCTTTTTTGAAGAATGCTGATTGAATTGTTCAGTTCAGGAGTTGGATAGGCATAACTAACGGCAATAAATACCGCAATGAGAACTACGATAATTAAATAAAGGCGCTTATATTTAATTTTGATATAAGTCATCTTGAGTATAATTGAAAATTAAGAAGATATTCTTATTTTCGAAACTACCTCGATATTTTTTTGAATCATTTTATACTTTGTAGATTACCTAATTTGTCTTTACCCTCATCGCTTCTTCGCATACCAAAATGGTCAGTTCATAGTAGTCAAAACGTTACAAAAATCATGTTCAACAAAATATAAAAGATTTTATTATTCCTTTTTAAGTAATAAAAAATCAAATATACTAATTTAGTCACGCCATTTTATTTCTACTTTTATTACAAAAACTTTAACCGTTAATAAAGAATTTAAGCTTTTTTTTGATTATCATAGATTTTTTTTATCAAATCTTAATCATTGTGTTGAGTTGATGACCTAAAATTTAAAAGTTTAAAATCAATACGAACTGTTATCTAGAACCTAAAAAAAGATAACATTGTTTAGAAAACGATATCGTTGAATCGAAACGTATCACAAAAAGTCTATGAGTTTCATTGAAACTTTTTTAAAACGAATGTAATACAAAAAATTATTTATTTTTAACATTGATTTTTCCTTCCTTTCAATTTTGTACATTCCTTATGTTCTAATGTTTTTCTTTTTATATATACAGTATTTATTTAGCCAATTGACCAAAAACATAAAAACCATTTTTCTAAATTGCCGATCGTTTATGCTAAAATTGGAAACTGATTTGAAGTCGGGCTGATTGTCTATTAAAAATAAAATTTAAAGATTCGATAATTGATTCGTGTGTCTTTTGAGTAAGTTTCGGGAAGGTTTTTTTTCGGAAGCTTATTTTTATTTTTATTTTTTAGGAACGAATCATTCGATCTAAGGTGCGGGTTGTTTCGGAGGCAAAAAGAGTACAAATAACGAATCATTCGATCTAAGGTTCGGGTTCCTTCGGAGGCAAAAAGAGGACAAATAAAATTGAACTGATTTCGAATATTTGATTTTCAAAAATTTTATACCCGCCCGGGCGAAAACTTCGAAATGTAGCGAATAAATTTTTCTGATTAAATCATATATTTCATATGCTAGATTTTAAAATGATCTACAACTCTATTTATTGTTAATCACAAGTTTATAAAAAATTAATGATCAGATTTGCTATTAACGAAATCGTTAACCTCCTCCCAATTACTAAAGAAATCTCTATGAAAAAAAAATAATGTTTAATAAATTTCCGAAAAATGATCAAACTGCTGGAATTTTTCATGTCCGAAATTTTTTTTCCCTAAAAATGTAAACGATAATTAATTATTTTTTTTTTTTTTTTATGAAAAGCATAAATGAAAGAAAAATATCCGTTACTTAATTCTCTAAGTAAAATTGCAGAAAGGCAAAATACTACCTAGAATTTTATTAATAATTAATTGTAACTATTTACCTATAATCTTTAATTAACAAATTTTTTTTTAAAACATAAGAGACAGGCTCTTACATTCGTAATATTTGATTGATGAGAGGTAAATATTGATGAGAAACAATATCAGTTTAATCACAATAACGTCAAAATACGTATATCGGAAATTATAAAATTTTAAACCATAATGACGTTTTAATTTTACAAATATTTTAACCTTTTGGCAAACTTTTCAATGATAACGTCATTCCTTTTGGAATGGTGGAATAAATAAGTGACAAGAGTTCTAACTCAAATAGATTTATCATTTGGTTTCAACGGCATTAGTTTTTTAATGTTTACATGCTTATACTTTATTACAAGAATCTTACCCGAGAAAATCTTAAAATGTCGCGTTTTCGTTATTTAACTGTACGACCAACATTTTAAGCACATATGGGTTACACGAATTAAATTATGAATAATTGAATTAATGTTGGAAGCGATTTTATAAAGGTTTTCTGCAATGAAATAATATTCGATGAACAAAGTTCAATAAATTTGCGTTGGGCGTATTGATTTTGTAGAGTTTTTATTTCAACTTCATAGTTTATTATAAATACGTAATTGAGAAATAAACAACGAAAGATTTTACAAAATTTTGACTACTTATACGAGAGAATACTCTTGATATTTGATTGTAGGAAGTATGAATTCGAGAAAGGTAAAAAAGATAAATTCGAACATGTTTTTTTTTATCTATCCTTGTGACTATTATGGATAAGGTCAATGTAATTCAAATTGTTTAACAGAGAAGAAATTAAGATGTTGTCAAGTTATTAGATTTGATTGATGATAAAGCTGAATTAGGAAAGAGAGATGCTTTGTTAATCGGGTTTGAGAATTTGCTCAGAAAGAAAAATTGATGTTGTACAAAAATATTTTGTTTTGATCTATGTCAAATATGATTTGTTAAAAAAAATGAAACCTAGAGCAGTTTGAACTGATATTATATTTTTTACTCTAATTATTTATTCTTCTAATGAATGAATTATATAAAATTCAAATTTTTTTTTTTTTTCGAACAAGATCAAAATTATGTTATTTCTATTTGATTCAAGAGCGATATGAGAAGAATATAAAATATTTCTATTATTTTTTGAAAATTCTGAATTTTCTTATAAAGATAGTTTTATGTAAACTTTTATTTCGACCAATAGATAAGCTTATAATTCGATGAAATTGGTTTCACAAAAATAATATTCGCTTCAAAATTTCTTTTTATGTGCCTATTGTATTGTATTATTATACGAAGTTATAATGAAATTTGTAATTTAAATAAGAATGGGAATGTTCGCAAACTTGATTCAACTTTTCAAAGAAATATAAATAACTGTCCAACTTTTAACGGCTTTTAAAAAAATAAAAAATTTGAAAGAAAATTTACATACACTGATATCGATGAAATTTTTGTTAAAGTATTTTTTAAGTTATATATTCCTACCATTTAATTAATAGTTTCGGGTTCGCTCATAGAATAACTGGTTGTAGTAAATCTGTTTTCAAAATAAATTTTATATAAGCATGGCATGCTTTTAAATTAACATTCTACTATAGTTGCGGGCAAAACCCTAAACCAATTTTGGCAAAAGTCGAAACTTTTCAAAAATTGTTTCGGCAGTTTCGATGGGTTCGACGGTTTCGGTAACAACTTTGCGAATTCTTAAAAAGGACGTGAATATATGATCATGTGATGCTTAAATAAACTAAATTGCGAACATAATCGATAATCAGACGTATATGTTTATTTATTATCTGCTTAAAAGAAATAAAATTTTAAATATGCAGCTTATTTCCTAGATCATAAGCATACAATTACTTTTTCCTTAAATTCATTCATTTAGGATTCTAATAGAATATGTTCCATAAAGATAAAAACTATGCTCAAAAAGAGCAGCATCTATTTCGTCAATATCTGAAAGTTCGCTCATTTTTTATTAATTTTTTATTTTTTCTTTAGAATATTTTTAAGAAATTATAAAGATTTAAAGAATTTCAAATTTACTGTATGTGAATGCAAGCATTATACTAATAATATATTTCTAAACCATGATTATGATACTATATTTGTCAATTGCTAATCATGCCGATCATACGTCATACGTACTAAATTTGGCTACTACTTTATTCAGAAGTTGGAACAAAAAAGGGAATCTGAAAAATCAATTCACAACAGATTAATCGTCTTCGTTTTTAACGCGGATAACAAATAAATTACTTGTTATTTACTGAGAATTTTTTTTGATTCTCTTTATAGCTTTCTAATTTTCGGGTTCGATTACTACAGTCGAATGATTTATTTTCTAAATTTGTAGATTTTTAATATTTAATTTGTTTTGCTTTTTTAAGTTCCTTACCTCTTGAAGATTACGATCACTTCAGAAGTTAAAAGTAGATTCTTTTCATTTAGATTTTTTAATAAAGATGAGTTGGTGTCGAAGAATTTTAATTTTACAAAAAATATTTTAGGAAATCTAATGTACTGAAGTTGTACATTAATTTGCGTTTGAAGTAGATTTTGGTATGATTACAGAACATATGTGTTTTCCGGGTGTTCTTTTTTCATGACACAAAATATATGTAATATGTATGTAGTGACTGAAATTGATTTTCGTCTGAAGTTGGAATTCAGTCGATCCTCAAGTATCTTAACTGAAATTGGAATCTCAATTTCATGTACATCATTTATTTATTTCCTTATTTCGTGATGATTTTTGTTTGCTTATTTTGTGTTCATAAATCGTCGTATTATATATTGTGTTGATGTTTGAAGGTTGCATTAAGCTAAGGCTATTGCAGAGCGTCGATCGAAACATTAATAGGAAATAATATATATAATAAAATTTCTTGTTATGTAAAAATCAATAATGAAATACAATTTGGTTAATAAATCCGGTTTCATGCGGCATTACTTCTTATTAAACTTGCCTTTACTAAGTTTACAGTTTATCTTAAACAGAAATAAAAGAAAAGTTAAAATCTTTATATATAGTTGATTATTTTTTTTCAAAGTCTAAATCGAATTTTTTACACAAAAAAGAAAAATGTTCGAATTAAATTCTTTAGTTAGTCATTTAGCCATAGTAGTTATAAGTTGGTTTACTTATAAAGTCTATATTTATCCATATTATATTTCTCCTTTGAGAAAAATCCCTGGTCCGC